ACCGTTAACGCAGGTACTATTACTATTCTATTATAATCCAGTAAGAAGAAAACACGAGAAAAATGAAATTTAAAAGAATTTATTGCGTAATTGTTAAATTGCTTTTACGATAAAACACTTATTAGCACTGTAAATTATCTCTTTGACTCTAAGTATAATATTGTTACAAAGTAGACATATTTGTGACATTTTTTTATTGACAAGTGTTCGACATATTTTATTTATTTATTTTTTTTTTAAATAACATTACGAATTTTAATGACTCATTTCATAAACATTTAATCTTTTTGCGTTTTAAATTTTGCATGTCTTATTATGGCGAAATATAAGGACTTATGTGAATTGTTAACATCTATACACTTACCATGTTTCTTGTAAATAAATAAATAAGAAGTTACAGTACTTGTAGTATAATATACTTATCTAAAATTGTAATATTTACGACAAAGACTAACACTATTTCGTGTTTCATATTAACAGATTTTCTATTTTTATACCATCACTTGCAAAACGAAATACCTAAATAACATAACCGTATTTTCGCTCTCAAATCAAAGTGTTTGAAAAGGGATCCGTTGAGGTAGTAAAATGTGTCGTAAAATATAGGTTACAAAGGGTAAACGTGCTCACCTATAATAATTTTGGGTACAATACTGCCCATATAAAATATAACATAAAGAAAAATATAGAAACAAGACTTATTTTTTTTTACGAAAATTCCATTTATTATTATTATTGCTTGTTATTTTAAAAAGAAAACACACTTGCAATTTCTTTGATGTTGCAGATGACTATAGGTGGTGGTAATTACTTACTACAAGTGTCAGATGAGCTTCATGCACGTTTGCTCTTTATGTTATAAAACATCGTGTAAGGGGAAGAGGCTTGTTAGTAATGAGAACTAGCGGCCATATTACTAGCATTGTATCGTATTGAATTGATTAGAATATTATATTTCTTATGTACTTACTTATTATACTTTAAAAATTAATCTGTGTAATTAGTAATTACTAATTATTGTGTGGCATAGATTGTTCCATCCCTTACCTTCCTGTGGGTGTCGTAAAGGGCGACTAACGGAACTGAATGGTCGAGGAAGGGGTCGCGACGTGGCTCCTAATACATCACAAAAGGCCTAACTACGATTGTCAATCCACCTGCTAAGCATGGCAACTACTGGAAATGGCAATGGACAATAAACGGCTGATATTATGGTGATGTGATGACACTGCATTGGTTCCATTTTAAATATATAACTCGCAGAAAAATCTATATAAATATATAATATTTATAATGTAAACTTACTATAAAGTACCTTGTTGATAAACGGTATATTCACGATTGAAATCAATTCTTTTTGCGGAGAATTTTTGGATGATGATGACGATGAAGTAATCTGTACTATGTAGAATGAAAATAAATATAAATAAATAAATATTATTCTGCGTTTATTATATATGCAAATGTTTTGAAGATATTACTCTTTCACGCAAATATTACAAATTTGAATGACGTCCATATATAAATATAGTACATGGATTATATTCTAACCTATCGTTAACATACAGGATATACTGATTCATGCAAGCGAAGTCACGGTTTACAGCTATTAATAAAATTAATTGTCAGACCATTTAACAAGAGATTGTTTTACTAATCATGTTCAGTAATGTACCATCAGATGGACTACTAGTTCACTGATCTAAAATTTAAAAAAAAAAGATCAATATACTCTAATTTACGATGCTTCTAACATTCGAATTTTATATTATTCTTTCTTCAGCAGTCGGTTAAAATAATATCAAAATATGCAATATTATACAAGGTTCTTTACTTGAAAATCATTAAAACTATTGAGTATTATATCGTCCAATTAAAATTTAATTCCAATTATCAAGATCATATTTACAATTCAATTTTGATCGAGGTAACATTACAAGTAATTAATTAGATAGTTTGTTGTCAATATATATCGTTATCGATAATTAACATGCGTTATACAATATTGTGTAGTTTAATATCTAAACATGGTTTTAATTGGCGTCACTCCTAAAATTTATATACATAATAAAAAGTATTTTTTCTCAAACATGCTTGGAAATGTGAGCATTATTTTGACAATCTTCTTAGAGATAAATCAAAATTGCCGTACTGGCCAGATACATGCGGGCAGCGGCCGGCAAAAGTTGTATGAAAATCCATATCTATCGTGTTTTGCGGCCAGATAAATTACTATGTAAACTCAAAATAAAAAATTACTAAAACGTAAAATTACTATGTAATTTAAAAATGGAATGACCTTTTACTTCGAAACATGGCTACCAAGGAGGTAACTAATAAAATGTTTTATTTAAATTTCGAACTGGCTTGCAAATAGAAAGCTGTTTATTGAAAAAAAAAATAAAGGAATATTGTGTGCCTCGGCTACGCCTCGGCCCACATTTACACGTTCGTCCATCAATGCCTCAGTTGCTGGCCGCTGCAGTAATGAGCGTGTATATCTCACTAATGAGATCTTGTAAAATGGAATTAAATATTTTATAAAGAAAAAATAAAACCACGTTTTTTTTTTGTTTTATAACATATTAAATAAAATGATAATAAGTTGAATTTTTATTAAGAAAAATTAAGATTTATATATGGGTTGAATTCTGTAAATAAATATCTGTTACGCCTGTCTCTCATTAGGGTAGGCAGAAAAGAAAAGAAATGGAAAGCCAAATGCTTCGATTCAAAAAACCTCTTTCCCTTCTTCCATATTCATCAATTTTTTCGTATACACTCGCCGATTACGGGTACTTTTAATTTAAACTTAAAGCTTAACATATATTCTTTATTTTCAATACTATTGATAGCATTATAAATAAGTGATGGGCACATGTATTTTTTAATAACTTTAAGACTGTTTAATGCAAATAAACTCATTTTATTTCATTTAACATTCTTACATTTTAACATACAGTGTTACCATTTTAAAATGGCATGGCAAATATTGACGTAGAATAAGGATATCTGGGGCACTTTACAGGGTACACAGCTACATACGTGTAACAATATAGACGCCCGGAGCAATATAAACATACTTGATATTTGTGAATACAAAATGCTTGTATTCCATGGAAAACGAACCTGCAATCATACTGTCAATATCACAGGAATGTTATGGAAACAAAGGTGTTCAAATTCTCATAATAATAATATTTCTACGTAAGTAACTTAATACCTGACGACTTTACTGTTTTGAACGAGTGTATAAAGACCTACTGGTGTAATAAAGTACGTACGATACAACGTAACAGAACCGCCCATAAATCGTTCTCGCAGACGTGTTCCTTACAGACATTCAGGATTACGCCATTAGCCAAAGGGGCGTTGAAAAAAATATTCCCAATGATTCCGAACACGTTGTGTTGTTTGAACATTTCCTGCTTATATCGGAACGTGTTGCACAACTGTCGCATTGCCAATATTTTGGCATACAAATATATAATAGGATAAATGGTTTTTATTTAACTGATGGTTATATGTAATAGTTTTATATAATTCCTGACAGAATAAATAATCTATTATGTTATATTTATTATATACACACGGTCTAAGTAAGTATAAATTAAAATGTGATGTTTTATGCATAGCTTGTCTATATCCAAGCTGTAACCTTATGTAATATCAAAAATAAAATTTGACAGCCACTGTCATTAGTCTGATAGATGTTTAAATATTACACTACTTGGTTACCTTGTTGCTACGCTGTTTTTCGAATAGGTTATCTATTTTCGAATTGGCAACATTATCTTATGTCAAAAATACCAACATAACTGCGAACTAGCACAATATTTTTTGTTCCCTACTAAAGTATTAATTACCATTTATAGGGTAGTATAATTAATTAAACCGCCAGTGTCTATATTGAAATATTCCGAAATTCCCATAGAATCGGAAGATACTACCGTGTGATCAAAAATATAGTAAGAAGCAAATAAGGACTAGAACAGAAAAATAATCAACTTAATTTAAACGGACATTAATCATCATATGCTATTATAGTCATCATTTATCCATTATTTTTCCACTGCTGAACATAGGTCTCACACTATTGGGGGCTTTATCAGTAGTTGCCATACTTAGAAGGCGAGTTGGCTACCGCAGTTATGCTTTTGGTGAGATTAAGAGGTATTATTTTAAGAGGTACGCTGCTGTCCATTCCTTGATCATTAAGTTCTTATAGTCGTCTTACGATACGCACGGAGAAGGAACGGGTGGCCCATTCTATGCCGGGACCACACGAAGACATCTATATACCTGATTATAATTATCAACGTTTCGTAATAATTTCAATATGTGTAAAATACGCGAACATTGAAAATGAACTATTTTATACATTGTACCAACAATTTTTAAACGCAGATTCAGCAGTGAAGTTTGAACAAGAAACATGGTTGTGGCTCTTTTCAGACAAAAGTAGAATTTTACAAGTTCATGATTCGCTTGTAACTTGAAGAGACTGCTATCTTTCATTTCCGTAAAATTCTTAAAAAAAGAAACATCCACCTCTGAAGGAAATATTCAATGCATTTTTTTTTGTAGATACCTCTTAAACATCTGTAAGAAAAGCACTCTCCGATAGTACATTATCACTATACCCTGCCAACAGAATAAAACCTATCCCGGAACGGTTCAGTGAACTTCAAGTTAACAGACAGATTCAAGACATGTCTAATATTGCATTTTGCTATTTTCTGTACAATACCACGACGGAAATAGTTCGTGCAACTTATGGACCGCAAAATGTGAATTATGGGTCCACTCGAGTATAAAAATGATACAACTACATGCCGAGTGCTTATCAATGTTATATTTCTGTTCGATAGGCTGTCTAATATATGGTTAATGCAATAACAACTAGTTCCGCTGTCATATTCGTGAACGGGTACTTGGAGGGATTGATCTGTTTAAGTTGAATAGAATTAAAATAACGTAATTCCTTCATTTTGTTTCAGATTTGGACGAGGTTGGGTGTAACAAGGACGGGAATTAGAAAATAAAATTTTACCAAGTGTCTAGATGTCCAAGTGTAAATATTTAATTAAAAAAATATTGTTAGTTAGAAAATAAAACATGTGCATAGTCAAGTGTGTACAGAGGACATTGGTTGCCTTCATTCTCCTGGCCGTCACTACATCGCCGTCGGCAACTCAAAATACAATGATTTCAGGTAATTTACATTTTTATTTTATTATTATAAAACTTTCTAAACAAATCCATAGCGTGCGGTTGTAGATTGATCGCTTTGTAATTTACCCAGTCGAGCATACATTTTTCTGGTCCTTCGAGACGGATTGATTAATTTGATTAATGTATTTTTAATGTAAATCTTCAGTATGACTAAAATAAACTATAATATATTTTAGAAAAAAATAAAAAAAAATAAGGTAAAATAAAAAGGAACGCAACAATAAATAAATAATAATAAAAATATATAAATAAACACAATGTATAAAATACTCACTACAGATAAAATATTCTTACTTACTTAGTTAAATCTATAGTTATTTTTCATTAAAAAGAAACTTCAAATTCTATTAAGTTATTGCCTATCTTGTGTTATTTATATATACGAGTACAAATTATAAATATAAATTTGATACATAATTAATTAATAACCTGATTTAAATGAATTTTAAATGGCTCTACAGGGTATGTATATATTTTAGTTTTATACCGGTCATTGTAACGTGTCAGTCTATGTTCGTGAATAAAATATCAGCCAACATCATAGTGAAAGCTCGTGTTACTAAATTTCCCTATAATTACGTACCTGTCATTATTAGATACGCTTCCTAGATAACAGTTTAAAATTGATGATTTTAATTTGAATCTTTAATTTTAAACCTTAAAAAAATATAATTATAGTTATTTAATTTATTATTGAGATTTCAATTCGGTTTACAGAAACTTCTGCTATATTTATTTTAATTTAAAACTTAAAATATATAAAACAAGTTAAAAATTACAATTCTTCAAGGTACAATTATTTGCTTTCGTATCTTTTAGTATTTTCATTGCTTAAATTTAAATTATACAATATTTCCTATAATTTTCCAACTTAAAAAATATACAACAAATTGAGAAATACACAGTTCAAACTGAAATGTATTTGCTCGTGTTTATTTTTAATCCTCTGTAAAAATATCACAATTGGAGTAAGTAGTAACTTTGCTTGATGAGGCTTCAAATACATTAGACCTAAAGAAATATTTGCCTTGAACCTACAGGTTACGAGTATAAGAACAAAGCCACCCGAGGGACATTACTTAAGTCAGCACCGTAAAAAATGTATACCTTTTATGTTACATTACATAGGTCGAGAGTCGTGTCTCTCTTATTCATATACTTCTATTGAAATACCTACTTGAGACATAAAGGTAGTGCCTATTGATTACAAATGAAAAAATATATTTCATTTTCAATTGCTTGTGTACTTTCACATGGTAACAGCCTATTTGTTGTAATATCTTATTTCAAGATTTTCTTCCCTTGCATTGATATGTAAGTCTAAAATAAAAAAGTGACACTTTATACTTTTATATGTATATTACGTGTACCATCTTTTCATTTAAAAAAAAAATGTGCTCACAACAAATGGCGTTGTCAATGACTATCGGTTCTTATATATTTATTTATTACAAACTCAATGCTCGACATGTTCTTATTTGACCGAGCATATTAAAATTATTTATTTATTTATGTAATATAGTTTATTATGACTATTTTTTTTATTACAAAGATTATTTTTTTCTATTTATATACTAGCAACATTAAAAAAATATATCGCTTAAATATATAAAAAAAATGCGTGCTATAAAAATTAATTAATTGAGGAAAACGGATTATATACCATCTGGTTATATAATATATAAAGAAACTGGACGTTACAACATAAAATAAATGCTAGAAAAACTTTTTCTTGTAAGAGAACTCTATGCTCTAAAAGTTGGAGGGCGTTTGAAAATAAATCTTTTAGCGACAGATACGGGTCGGCCTCGACGAACGGTTCCGCTTAATACACAATAAAACGTGAGAAATGGATAAAGCGAATGAAAAAGAGAAAAGCATAGGTTCAAAACTACATAATTTATCTGTACACAATACGTTATAAATCATGCTAAATGTACTGGTTGATATTTTATTGATCGGAAAAATGTATTGAGCTATTGGCAGAATAGGGCCCTCATTTACCTAACGGTTTTTGTTAAAAGAGATTGTTGTCAATCCAAACGATTACTAGGAAAAAAAATGTTTTTAATAAAGTTGTTTTAATGTTTTTTTAGTACAGGTATTAGATAATGCATAAAAACAAAATTTATTCGAAACCCCATTATATTATTAGTATTTATGTAGTTCTTTATGTTATATCCTTTAAGACTTTTTATTTGTCGTATAGATTCCGGCATAGAATAGGCCCTGCCACCTCTTTCTTCCCCGTGGATGTCGTAAGAGGCGAATTAGGGAGCTTATGGTGGAGAAATGAGAAGCAGCGTGCCTCTTAAAATATCGAAAAGCCAAACTGCGGTTGCCAATCCGCCTGCCAAGCGTGGTAGCTACTGGCAAAACCCATCTTATGGGAAAGGCTATGTTCAGCGATGGCCAGTTAACGGCTGACATAACAAGGTTTTTTATGATCATTTTTTTATTTATTTATTTTTTTTTTAATTTTGTCAATTGTCTCTTCTTGTAGTCCTATTATTTTGATATTAAAGTAGTTTTGCTACTAGATGGCAAAGAAAACGTTAAACTGTTACCACTGTTTTGATTGTCTACATTTCGCTGAGCAATTTAATTAATACGATTGAATCTAAACAACTGTAATTTTTAAAAGTTATCCAAATAATATTATATTCACGCAATCTCTTTGAGCAATACTTTTGACTAACGACGGTCTCGACTATAACGGCAGATGTGCGCTGGCTCTTAGCCAATATGCTGCATTTTTGCGAACAATAAAAAATCAACCAGTAAGCGCAATAATGTTGGCAGGTTCTAAGTGAAACTGAATCGTTGACTTCATATAATTTTGTTTTTTTTTTCTTAATAGTCGGTTTATATAATTAATGTCTGCATATAATTGAACATAGTTGATATTTCTTTTAGACTATTTTACTATTTGACTTGACGTCTACCTTCTATCCAGTATTGTTTTGATAATTTTACCCCTATAGTTTAAAACTCAGATCACATACAAAGTAGTTGCAAAGGGATTTATCTCCGCAGTTAATGGGGTTATGAAATGAACTGCAGATACTTTTCCAAAAGACTACAATGCCGAAAAGGTATAAAAATCATAATTGTTTTGCCCTGAAATAATAAATTTGTGTTTGTTCCAAAAAAAAAATCGACCTCAATTATGGTAAAATTTATTATTTTAATTTCGAAACTAAACTACCGAATCGATTAAATTTCCATAGGATCAGTTTGTAAGTATATCCTTTTAGATAAAAAATGAAAATCCAAATCGGTTTACAATCGTATTTTTTTTTGTTTGTTACTTTATAACTCCATGTTATAAAGTAACAAACAAAAAAAATAGAAGTGATTTGAGTACCTCTTTTTTTTGTAAGTCGTTTTAAACTTAAAATTGATTTCAATGTTGAAAGCACCTTATTTCAAAAATTTTACCAGTTGTATTGAATAACTACATTAAGTATAGTTCTAAAATGAGTGTTCTTTTTAAAAAAGGTTTCACTATTTTTGTCACAATTTTTGTGGAAAGATTTTCTTTCTAGGTGTTGGTGATAATCAAGTAGAAAGACAGCATCGCAAACCATGCTCGAATATGGCAGCGCTGAATTGCTAGTTCTTAAATAAAAATACCCCATCTTTTCCCTCAAACCAATTGTGATTCTCAAGTGAGCTGGAATTTCAGAATTGTTTCGGTTTCGTTGTCAATTTCAACAATGTCGAAAGCAAGCGACGCGGCTGTTACGTGGATTTTCACTTAGCTTTTGCCCTCTAGTTTACAAAATAAACAAACGCTTGTTAGAGCTCATGTTTATTTTGTTACTTTTATCCCTAGCTCCATATCGTCTAGTATAAACTAAAACTAAATTGTGCTTAAATATTGGAAACAAGTTGATGTGATAGAGGTACAAAAGTACCGAATGTTAAATTTCTAATGACAATATTCATGAGTTCCTCCAGTAGTTTGTTGTTATTACATTTTATGCGGGTAGTTGGACATTAAAGACTTTAGTCATACGTTATTGTCCACGATTGGCAACATTAATGCGCGGACGACTCGAGAGCTATCACCCTGTCTCATGCCGCTCTTCTACGATGGACGCGACGCAATCCACTATTTATGTACGTAATCATGCGCAACTATATTCAAGCGTATTTTTTTTTTAATTAATGGTAATAGAATAGTCGCTTGCTAACGCGCTAAATGCGTCAACGGTGTACACTGACAGGGCATCAGTGAGGAATGATAGGTGAAGATGTAAAAGCAAGCTAATTAGCCCATCGTGATGAACTTAGAATTGAGCACGGTAGTTTTCAGAGGAACTTCTCTGCGACTCCAACGTCACCCTGTATTGCTAGTAATAGAACCTTAATCCCTAATACCGTCAATCCTTTCTCTGCTCTCAAGCTTCCAATATGTACTAATACATTTCAAATCTAATAACAAAAATCCGATGACAAATATAATTGAAAACTACCAAGATAGCGAATGTAAATCACATCCCGAACAATTACTTGTACTGATTGTACAAAAAACACTTTAAGTGACGTTAATTTTTTTTTATCTGAAAGGCTGGGAAACATAAAAGTTAAAAATACGTAAACCTTACGTAAAATTAAAGATAAAATTTTTATTACAAAGAATTCACAGATTTTAGGTGCAATGAATTGTTTTAATAGTAATAAACGTTAAAACACACGTCCTTTGTTACAGAACAAAAAAAAAAAAGAAAGGCAATCGTAATGTAACATTAAAAATGAACCACGAAATAATAACCCAAGTTATCGCTGGAATAAAACTCATTTCCTGACGTAATAAAAACTCATTTTAAATGTTTCCGGGGTGAAGGGGATGCCATTGATTGAGGTAGAAGAAAGGAATAAAGAATTGGAACATAAAACCCGTTTAGCCAGCAGCAGACTAATTCTCCGAACAAAAAAAAAACAGCCATTGACAAGTATGACCGGCTAGCCACC